CAAGCAGGTGGCAGGTGGGTCACTGGAACGACCCACCTGCTATTGCATTCACTTTAGGGCAGCTCCCCCTTTCTCATGGTGCCATCGTTCAGGAAGTGCAAGGCGGGTGTCACTCTCACTCTTGTGGTTCAGTTATCCAGGTTCCCATAGGTTTCAAGCTTCTAGCCAAACTGAGTCAGGCCTTCCAGCCCTGCAGGAAATGTCAATTCCACTCTTTTAGACGTAGACAACCACATTTTGCATGTACGTGAAAGAAGCTCTAACAGAGAGGAAACAAAACGATTTGCCCTTTCTTAATGCATCATTTTCTTTTGCTGATAACATACATATACGTTACACGCTATTGTACATACAGTGGTGCGGCTTAATTTAGGAAGAGCACTTTTTTTCATATAACTTTTATATAAAGAAAAAACTCAATATAATGGGTCGGGCATAAATGGTTGCTATGAACTGCCCTATACATTTACACGTTACCTGATATCATCAAAAGAGTAGAGTAGCGTAGGGCTGCACTGCACCAATTACGACATTGTAACCAATTAATAGTTGGCACTTATTTGTTTATTACTATTGGGTATTATTGTTTGACAGAAAGAATAACCGGGCGAGTTGGTACGGTGGTAGTCTTTGAACTCCATCAAATATTCAGGTTTGACATTAGTTAAATTTTTCCGCCTTTTTTCATGTTTTTGCTTTTTCTAGCTGCTCTGATTTTTGGAGGGGCTTTGGCCACTACTAAAAAACGTGACATCTAAACTCCTTTTATTTTTTGCATCACACAATCGTAAACGTAAAAAGTGTGCCGGTTCGGTAAACGCGAAGAGACCTAATTTCCGAGGGTAAAAGCTCTAAAAACAACGGAGAAGTAAAAGAAACAAACAACACGGGGCGTTGTTTGTCTGTTGTTTTCAGCGCTTTTACCCTCGGAAATATGACGAAGACACCGCGCGTCTCTACGGCACAGGCATTAGCTTATTCAAAAAATCATGCTGCATGCTCGCTCTTGTAACGTTTTTCTCGCTCCCCCTTTATGAAACAAATCGGCGGCGAGCGGCTGTTAGGACAAGACGTCAGAACTAGCATGACCTGTGATTAACACTTTGTGACGGCGACTGAATGCTTGAACTGCTGTCAGACGGCACTTGAACGCTCCGCACAAGCGTCGTCGGACGAGCGCTTCACGACGGCGCCCAGAACATGCCCACGGTTCCGGCGCACGGGAATCTTTCTCGCACTGCGGAGCGAGCTAAAGGTTTTGAAGAAGTTACGCTCTTTTCAAATAACGAAATAACACAGGGCAGAAGCATACTTAGAATCAAACATAGCTTAGCAAGCACACGCTACACGACAAAGTTTGAAACAGCAGCCCACTTCGCCGAAACAAAAGAAAGTTGCTAACCGGCTTTTGCACGAGTCGTGCATGCGCGGTTCTGAACTTAGGGGCGTAGGCAAGACGCAGCGTCTTCCAGCTCTCAGTCATCGATTGCTATTCTTGAACACGGTATTCGTAAGGAAGATATCTGAAATATCGACTAAAACGGCTAAAACGTAAAAAAAGGAGATTTCCGAAACCTCTGGAACTTCAACGACCATTCAACCGAGCCCAACGGAAGCTGATTGCAATAGCTATTGCCTTGCGCAGTCTTCAAGAGTCTCTTTTCCTTTTTTATTTATTGTTATTTTTAGAACGATACTAAGCAAATTATTATTATATTAGTAACAATAAGAATGTCCTTAGAATATTAATGTAAAACATTACAAAAAGTGAGTAAATCTTAGGTTTTATTTAAACTTTAGCTTGTTTCTTTTTTGTGTAAACCGAAACCGAAACTAACTTAAAGGGAAGCTACGGAGCTTCTTGGAAAACATGAGTTAGAAGTGAATTCTAGTGTATTTTTACCCCGTGAACCCGAATACCCAAACCATTTGCTGCGTAATTATTGTTAAACGCGAGAAAAACGCGAAAGACAGTCGCTGTCCGTGACGTCATCGACGGCTCTTTTGGCTGCCCAAGGCTAGGGGGGCGGGGCTTCAGCCCTATTTTGAAATTGCTCTTGTGGCTCTCCAGCGCGTCGCATTGAAATATAATTTTGATATCTGTTATTCTAAAGGCCAAATGAACGCAATTCAAGCGTTTTTTCTCAAATGTAGAAGTGCCCCACCTTCCCTTTAAGCAACGTTTCCTTCGTCGTAATGGTTTGCGTGTGTGTGCGTGTATGCGGGTGCGTGTTTGTGCGCGCACGTGTGGATGCGTCCACGTGCATGCGTGTGTGCGTCTCTGGTTGTGCGTGCGTGTGCGTCTGCGCGCGGGCGTGGGTATGCGCGTGTGCATGCGTGTGTACGTGCTTGCGCGCGTATATGAGTGCGACTGCGAGCGCGCAAGCGTCTCTTTGCGCGTTCTATTGCACTGTGCCCGCAAGAAGAACAATTGAATGTCCCTAGACACTGTTAAAACACTAACTTATTGATTATTATTATTATTATTATTATTATTATTGTTGTTGTTGTCGTTATTGAAACATAGCCCTGAGTCTTTAGACACAGGGCCCTAAACTTTTTTATAGCTGGCTGTAGCTGTATCTATAAATTTCTAAGGCCGACCATGCAAAGGTACAGGGGGTGATAGCCTGCCATTGAATTTTCCATAGACGACCATAGGCCACCTTTGTATGGGATGTCTCGGACTGCTTTATTATGGGATTTGACTCTTTATGTGTGTGAGTTTTTGTGCATGTCACCATATAGGCTCCTTGCACTGACGTCACATCGCACACATTTGAACACCAAGTAAAAGGAGGAGAGAGAAGCTGCTTTTGTAAGAATTTTGAGTGACAGCCTAATCTTCTATAATCTTCTGAGGGGAGAATAGCGACGCCTGTGCAAATCCGGAAGGCACAAAGGAGGATCCTGATAAGAGGGGAGCTCCTTCTTCCCCTCTTTTCTAAAGGGCAACGGAAATGACGTCCTGTGCAAGGAGACTATTCTCAAATGAATATTTTACTCAGGTTGACATTTATTTATTTATTTATTTTCATACTCTCAATGCCCGGAGGCTCTACAGAGAGGAGTGGGTGGTACAGATGAAATCGTTGGCAAGCTTCTTGAAGTATGTGACGTCCTGGATGGACACGATGGAGGCAGGGAGGTGGTTCCATTCGCTAGATGTTCTTGGAATAAAAGAGTCAAAATAGATGTTCGTATGACATGTGGGCGTGCCAACCTTACACTGGTGATCGTGGCGAGGTGACACATATGACGGATGAAAAAGTAGTTGATCTTTTAGAATTAGATTAGAATAATAGACTTTATGGAAAAGACAAAGACGAAAGTATTTACGGCGTAAAGCAAGGTCAGGTAAGTCCAAAGTTGTCTTCATTGATGAAACACTAGCAGTACGAGAATAATTAGAAAGGATAAAACGGGCTGCTCGGTTCTGGACTGATTCGAGAATGTGTGATAATGTTACATGACCCGGATCCCAAACGGAACAGGCGTATTCGAGTTTTGGCCTGACTAAGGCTTTATATAATTGGAGTTTGACGGGAAGATTAGCGGAACGAAAATGGCGCCGCAAAAACCCAAGCATACGATTAGCATTATTAGAGACATAGTCGACGTGCATGTTCCAGGAAAGGTTATGAGTTATGTGAATACCAAGATACTTGTATGAAGCAACAGCATCTAATGGTATATCATTAAGGATGTATATGGCAGGGTCAGTGTTTTTAGAGAGTCGCGAAAGACGCATGCTTTTACATTTAGTAACGTTAAGCTTCATTAGGGATTCAGCGCACCAAGAAGAAACTACGTCGAGGTCTGACTGTAGTATAGCACACTCTTGGGCATTAGTAATTACGCGATAAAGTACACAGTCATCCGCGAACAATTTAATAGAGGAGACAATTTGCGATGGGAGGTCGTTAATGTAGACTAAAAACAAGAGAGGCCCTAGGACAGATCCCTGTGGTACCCCGGACGTTACAGGAGTAGTAGAAGAATTATGCCCATTGACAGAAACATATTGTGAGCGGTTAGATAAAAAACATTTAATCCAGCCCAAGATGTTAGGATCGATATTAAGTTTACTCAGTTTCAAGAGAAGTAGGTCGTGCGAGACAGAATCGAAAGCCTTAGCAAAATCTAAGAAAATGCAGTCAAATATTAGCCCGGCATCAATGGCAACCATCAGGTCATTAGTAAACGATACGAGCTGTGTTTCACAAGAAAAAAATTTTCGGAACCCGTGTAGACAATTAGTAAAAAAAGAATTGGACTCGAGAAAGGCAACAAGGTGAGAGTAAATGATATGTTCAAGTAATTTACACGGCACACTAGTCAATGATATGGGCCTGTAGTTAAGTGGGGAGTGAGCAGTACCTGATTTATGCAAAGGAACCACCTTCCCTACCTTCCAATCGTTGGGTAACGTGCAACACTGCAAAGACTGTGAAAAAATTTCGGAAAGAATCAAAGATGAATAGGTGGCGGTGCTCTTCAGGAATTTTGAGTTGATTCCGTCAATCCCAGCACACGCAGAAATTTTAAGCTTCTGGATTAAACAGTCGACACCAAATGAATCAATACTAACAGGAAACATAGGACTATAATTAGGGCTGAAAACAATGGGGTAACAGGTAGGAGTCGTGTGGGAAAAATAAGAAGCAAACACATCATTCAGGACATTGCAACAATCATTTAGATCTACAGGAACATTATTCGCATCACAAAGCTCAACCGCACTGGATCTACTACCGCTGACCACGCTCCAAAACTTTCGTGGGCTATCTTTTAAAAGAGAAAAAAGTGTACACTGATAAAACTCCTGCTTTGATTGTGCGACAGCTTGTTTATATTCCGTATCAGCAGCTTCGTAAGCGTCCCAGCGCTCAGCACTTTTTGTTAATTTTGCGCGCCGAAATAACCGTTTCTTTTTATTTCGCAGACGCTTAAGGCGTGCGTTAAACCAAGGTGCCAGTGAATTAGAGCGGATGCGCTTCAGAGGGATGTACTGGTCAGTTAGGTCACTCACTTTTTGCTTGAAGAGAGACCAATTTTCTTCAACCGTTCGCGTATGAAAACGTGAGATGTAATCAGTTAGAAACGTGTCTAATTCATTATTAATTGAAACAAAATCGGCATTTTTGTAGTCACGAATAATCTTAAATGCTTTATATGAGGAAGCAGATGCCTGCAGGTCGAACTGAATAACACAATGGTCACTTAAACCTGGTAAGTATGTTAAGGGAGACACAAGCTCAGGGGTTGTAGTGAGAATGAGATCTAATACATTGGAAGAATGAGATGAACATCGTGTAGGCTCTTGTACAAGTTGCTTTAAATTAAAATCAAGACAAAGGCTTAGAAACGAAAGAGCCTGTAATGAGTGATCACTTACTGTGGGGGTGTCACTTTTCCAGTTAATTGTGGGAAAATTAAAATCCCCCAGAAGAAGCAAAGACGAAGAAGGAAACCGTACTACCAATCTATTTAAGACATCGTGAAGCTCAGAGCAAAATGTACTAGACGAAGCGGGGGGTCGATAGCAGGCGCAAAAAATAAAATCCTTGTTTCTGACATGTACACGGGCACACACGAACTCTAATGATAGGTTAAGTGGTATAACGCTCGATATTATAGAATCACGAACAGCGATAAGAACACCGCCACCTGAGCGCGAGTCACGATTGAAACGATAAAATTTGTACATACCTTCACACTCAAAAATTTCACTGTCAGCAATTTTACTAGAAAGCCACGTTTCGGTCAGGATAACAATATCAGCTGTACACGTGTCGATAAGAGATGACAAAGCGTCGCGTTTGTTGCACACGCTTCGCACGTTAGAATACAATATTGAGATAGCGTTAGTCGCCGGGCCTTTACATAGTTATGTTGATGACGCGTGTGAATTATAATTGCTTGCACCAGGTGCGGAAACTGCGTTATCGATGCCCGGTTGCGGCGCGGAAACTGTATTATTGGCACCCGGAGAGAGAGACGCGGCGTTGTTAGCTTCACGAGCGTGACTAGGAGTCACTTCGCAAACACAATCTGTTACAGGGCAGTAAGTATACACCTTTTGATTAACGTGCAGCCTGTTTAGTTTGAGCGAGAACCTCTGACCGGTGCCTTTACCGAAATCGATTAACTTTTTACGTAACTGCCGCGTAGCCGGACAGAAATCCTCACCGACTGAAATTCCTGTTCCTTTCAACTTAAAACGCTGAGAAAACACATTCGCCTTGAATTTAGAGGAAGAGAATTTAACAATTATTGGCCGGCATTTATTAGTTGAGTATGAGCCTAATCTGTGAGCACGGGATATTGCCTCGCCAGGTAGATCTAGTCCTAACATTGTGGAAAGATTATCGCGGATATGAGATTCTGACTGCGACCAGTCTTCGGAAAGGGTGTCGGCGATACCGTAGAAAAGTAAATTGTCACGACGGGATCTATCTTCAAGCTCATTAAGTCTTGAATTCAGAACGGTAGTTTCGCCTCGGACGGCCTCACTAACAACATTAGACAGTTCAGTAGGATGCTTTGGCACATCTAGTAATTCTACAAGTGATTCGACTGCTGCAAGTCTTGAATTGATGTCTAACACTTTTAGTTCTAGCTGATGCTGGTTATCTTTGACCTGATTTAGCATGTCAACCATTTCGGTATGACGCGCATCGTTTTTAGAAGACTGTTCAGCAATGGCAGCCAGAATATCAGCGTTAGTGATAGGGCCGGGGTTTAATTCAACGTCCCCAGACAACAAAAGTAACTTAAAAACGTGAACACACATATAAGCAATTCTAAGAAAAACCAGCGGGCACTGGAGGAGCAGCAGAAAGCCATTACAGGATCGTTTAACGTGAAAAGATGGGTATTTACGAACCTGCAGAATGAAGCAGAAGGGATTTTGAAGCGACTGCATAGCCGCCGCTCCTCTGTGCCCACTGAAAGCGTCCTGCGGTGACCAGGCGCTTAAATTCGCAGAGAATCCTGCTGTCGTTGACGATGATGCTGGCTTGGTGAAGGGGAGGGACGAAACTGTGGCATCGAACACGGGCGCGATGTCGTCACCGATAGCCGCCAGGACAGTGCATGATGACGGTGCAGAGATGGTGGCTGGCTGTCGAGGAGGAGGTAGCCCTGTCCCGAGGAAGGCCAAAATCTGCAGAATGAAGCAGAAGGGATTTTGAAGCGACTGCATAGCCGCCGCTCCTCTGTGCCCACTGAAAGCGTCCTGCGGTGACCAGGCGCTTAAATTCGCAGAGAATCCTGCTGTCGTTGACGATGATGCTGGCTTGGTGAAGGGGAGGGACGAAACTGTGGCATCGAACACGGGCGCGATGTCGTCACCGATAGCCGCCAGGACAGTGCATGATGACGGTGCAGAGATGGTGGCTGGCTGTCGAGGAGGAGGTAGCCCTGTCCCGAGGAAGGCCAAAATCTGCAGAATGAAGCAGAAGGGATTTTGAAGCGACTGCATAGCCGCCGCTCCTCTGTGCCCACATAGTCATGTGACAGGTTCTAGCAGCATGTCATGAATATTTGTCAAATATTTTCACTATATTTTGATTTCATGTTGCCAGATATAAACTCGAGACTAACTGATTTTTTACTGTACACTTCCATCAATAAATATTTGTAAAAAATGCTAGTATAGAGCGTTTCACCCTACTAAGCAATTTATGAGCATGGAGTGATTTCTAAGAAAATGAAATATGAACTCATATATAAAATTTTGACTGCAAAGATAAAAATTATATGCAAAAGAGGCACTTTATTTTCAGCTATTTGCATGAATTACAAATGACATTATAAAAAGCTAGACTGCTAACAACTGTAGCTTTTCAAGCAGAAATCTTACGTGTACATTATGGACAGAGCCATATATAAGCTTTCCAAAACCATTTCACATTATTTATTTAGCACCCTCTTCTACACCCTTCTCACATTCTTCACTAAATGTAGGGTGTAACACGAAACAGCACCTTTTTCGTTAAAATTATGAGGTTGTATTCCTAGTTTTTAGGGTGGTAAAAGTGTGTAGCCGAGGGTGTAAGTTTCTACAACACCCCTTTTAGACCCTTAAAGGTGTAAAAACTTTTACTGTGTAGTACGGCCGAGCATCACTGGCGTCAATCACCACGATAGCGTCAATAGCGTCACGGCGTTGCCCACCACCCGCCAACAACCACGTTGTTAACAACAAAACCAGCGTTCTGCACATCTAGGTCGAGATGTTCATTTTCTTTTTCTTTTACGTTTGCTTCGATTTTGAACGTTTCCGTTGCCGTTTTAACCGAAGTTGTTAGCTTTCGTTGGCTCAGGAAATCAGTATCCTAGCACCTATATAAAACATTACTGAGACTAGCTTAAGTTTAATCAATATATGAGAGAAGTCTTGTTTAGGCTCCTCCAAAACACAAAGCCTGAAATATCCAATCTGTTATGTATCTGCTTTTGGTATAGCAGATGGCGGGACATGTTGCGAAGCACGCGGTCGCCGCGTGCTGAGAGCGCGCGGTTTGAAAGAGCACGGGTCTCGGTCAGTCGGGAGCCATGATTAAAACGAAAGAGTCGAGCGACTAACGGCTGCAACTGGGTCTTACTCGCGATACATCACACAGTCTTATCCAATTCAAGCACAAGCTGATCGGGAAGCGTGGCTACCGTGGCGGTTTACTGAGCTGAGTGCATTGATACACCTATAGGTTTTTAAGGTAGAGAAGGGGGCTTATGGTCGGTGTACAAGTATACACTGGCTGTGTAACGGAGGGCGCGTCTTCCAGGAAAGGGGAGCATGTGCGCCCGATGCACCCGACTACAACTTTTTTTTCTTCGAGTGCAGTTGGGAAGTAAATATGTGGAGCACTAACCTAAAAATCGCGGATGTGGTATTCGTGCTAAGAGTGCCGCGCAGCGACAGAGCGGTGTTGTTAGCGCGAAAATGACGTGGGCGCTGTTTTCGTATTTTATTTTCATAGAACAACGACGGGCACAACTCAAGCAGCACCAGAAAGTGAATTTCGATCGGCCGACGGTTGGCCAGTGTCTGACAGCTTGGCCACTTTAAGTGCTTGGCCACCGGAGACATAAACAAGGCCGGCAAGAGTCCGGCCACAAACTAGCTGTTTTTAGCTTGTCCGCCGGAGACATAAACACTGCCGGCAAGCGCCTGGCCCGAAGTGCCCATTTTCAGCTTGGCCGCCGGAGACATAAACGCGGCCGGCAAGTGTTTGGCCAGCAGTGCTGATTTTCAGCTTGACCGCCGGGGACATAAACACGGCCGGCAAGTGTCTGGCCAGATGTGCTGATTTTCAGCTTGGCCGCCGGGGACATAAACACGCCCGGCAAGTGTTTGGCCACAAGTGCTGATTTTCAGCTTGGCCGCCGGAGACATAAACACGGCCGGCGAGTGTTTGGCCAGAAGAGCTGATTCTCAGCTTGGCCGCCGTGGACATAAACATGGTTGACAAGTGTTGGGCCAAAAGTGCTGATTTTCAGTTTCACCGCAGGGACACCCAAATCTAAACTTTCATCGCGTTGACGAAACTTTGGTGTAACGACGGGCAGCGAGAGAAGCATCATGAGCGAGTGGTTGGCAGGATATTAGTGCGTGCATCGCGCGAACACTGTTAGCGCAAGCAAACGATTACCGTTTTATTCAGTTTTTTTTCGTTAGACTTGAAAGGCTATTGTCCTAACTAGCACTGTCGTGCGATATGTTCATTTGGAACATTACTAGAAGTGGGAAAATATTGTGCCCGTCCTTGTTCTATGAAAATTAAATACGAAAGCAGCGCCGACGTCATCTTCGCGCTAACAATGCCGCTCTGTCGCTGCGCGGCTCTCTTAGCGCGAATACCGCATCCGCGATTTTTCGGTTAGGGCTCCACATATTTACTTCCCAACTGCACTCGAAGAAAAAAAAGTTGTAGTCGGGTGCATCGGGCGCACATGCTCCCCTTTCCTGGAAGACGCACCCTCCGTTACCCAGCCAGTGTACCTGTATACCGACCATAAACCCCCTTCTCTACCTTAAAAACCTATAGGTGTGTCAATGCACTCAGCTTAGTGAACCGCCACGTTAGCCACGCACCCCGATCAGCTTCTGCTTGAAGCGGATAAGATTGGATATTTCAGGCTTTGTGTTTTGGAAGAGCCTAAACAAGACGTCTCTCATATATTGATTAAACTTAAGCTAGTCTCAGTAATGTTTAATATAGGTGCTAGGATACTGATTTCCTGAGCCAAGGAAAGCTAACAGCTTCGGTTAAACCCGCAAGGGAAAGGTTCAATATGGAACCACGCATAAAAGAAAAAGAAAATGAACATCTCGACCTATATGTGCAGAACGCTGGTTTTGTTGTTAACAACGTGGTTGTTGGCGAGTGGTGGGCAACGCCGTGACGCTATTGACGCTATCGTGGTGATTGACGCCAGTGATGCACGGCCGTACTGCACAGTAAAATTTCTTACACCTTTAAGGGTGTAAAAGGGGGTTGTAACACCCTTTTAACACCCTAAACCTAGGAATACAACCTCATAATTTTACCGAAAAAGGTGCTGTTTCGTGTTACACCCTACATTTAGTGAAGAATGTGAGAAGGGTGTAGAAGAGGGTGCTGAATATATAATGTGAAATGGTTTTGGAAAGCTTATATATGGCTCTGTACATAATGTACAGGTAAGATTTCTGCTTGAAAAGCAACAGTTGTTAGCAGTCTAGTTTCTTATAATGTGAGTTGTAATTCAAGCAAATAGCTAATAATAAAGTGCCTTTTTTGCATACAATTTTTATGTTTGCAAACAAAATTTTATATATGAGTTCATATTTATTTTCTTACAAATCAATCCATGCTCATAAATTGCTTAGTAGGGTGAAACGCTCTATTTTAGCATTTTTTACAAATATTTATTGATGGAAGTGCACAGTAAGAAAATCAGTTAGTCTCGAGTTTATATCTGGCAACATGAAATCTAAATATTGTGAAAATGTTCGACAAATATTCATGACATGCTGTTAGAACCTGTCCCATGACCATGTCAACCCGAGTAAAACATTCATTTGGGAATATGTTGAAATGCACAAAAACTCACACATAAAGAGGCAAATCCCATAACAAACCAGTCCGAGACATCCCATAAAAAATGGTCTATGGCGTCTATGGGAAATTCAATGGGAGGCTATCACCCCCTGTAGCTTTGCATGGTCGGCCTCAAAAATGTATAGATACAGCTACAGCCAGGTATAGAAACGTTTAGGGCCCTGTGTCTAAAGTCTCAGGGCAATGTTTCAATAACAACAACAACAATAATAATAATAATAATCAATAAGTTAGTGTTTTAACAGTGTCCCGGGACATCCAATTGTTCTTCTTGCGGGCGCAGTGCAATAGAACGCACAAACAGACGCTTGCGCGCTCGCAGTCGCACACATACACGTGCGCACGCACGTAGTACACACACATGCACACGCCCAAACCCACGCCCGCGCGCAGACGCACACGGATGCACAACCAGAACGTACACGCGCATGCACGCGGACGCATCCACACGCGCGCGCACAAACACACGCATGCGCATGCACACACACACACACAAACAATTACGACGAAGGAAACGTTGCTTAAGTTAGTTTCGGTTTCGGTTTACACAAAAAAGGAACAAACTAAAGTTTAAATAAAACCAAAGATTTACTCACGTTTTGTAATGTTTTACATTATTATTTTAGTGAAATTCTTATTGTTTCTAATATAATATTCCTTTGCTTAGTATATTGCTAAAAAAAATAACAATAAATAAAAAGGAAAAGAGACTCTTGAAGACTGCGCAAGACCATCGCTATCGCAGTCAGCTTCCGTTGGGCTCGGTTGAACGGTTGCTGAAGTTCCAGAGGCTTCGGAAGTCTCCTTTTTTTACGTTTTA